GGCCTACCTGTCTTCCTAACCCAGCGGTTCTCAACCTGTGGGTCATGACCCCTTTGGGGGTTGAACGACCCTTTCACAGGGGTCGCCTAAGACCATTGGAAAACACATATATAATTACATATTGTTTTGTGATTAATCACTATGCTTTCATTATGTTCAATTTGTAACAATGAAAATACATCCTGCATATCAGATATTTACATGACGATTCATAACAGTAGCAACATTACAGTTATGAAGTAGCAACGAAAATAATTTTATGGTTGGGGGTCACCACAACATGAGGAACTGTATTAAAGGGTCGCGGCATTAGGAAGGTTGAGAACCACTGTCCTAACCAGAAAATGAGCAACTCGGGGCGAGGGTCTTATTTGTATGGCTCACTGTGTATCCTCAGTGCTCCCCGAGCAACAATCACCCAAAGGTGTTTCTAGATCAATTACTTTTAAAAATCCAGCAGCCCAGAAATCGACTAAGAGGAAAGCAAAAGTCGTTTTTCAATCATCGGCAATTCCACTCCCCACACACAGTGCCCATTACCATGTGATGCGGGCTGTTCCCCTTTCCTCTGGGCATTAAAGCTGCATCCATGTCATTTTCACAAAGTGCAACGAAACTACACATTATCTATTATTTGTAGCTTTTAATGAACTTTATTGAATTTAACAGCAAAGTAACTGAAATGAAACGGAAGGAATTAGAAATCACCACATTTTTATTAAGGCATCATTTCTAGTGGCTCCTGGTAAATAGACCCTTCTCAAGTGAAGAAGCGAGATTATGAAAAATACTGAGGCTTGAATCGATGTTTTGTAAACACATGTCCCAATTTGGAGCCGTTTCTATTATGTTTTTAAAGTAATCTGATATCAATTATATTTTATCCCATAACCATAACCCCACAATTGACGCTTTTGTTTTATATGTAAGTGGGTTAAAATCTCACTTCCTGTATTTATTTGCTGCCATTCGCTTCTTCTTGCTGAGTTCTCATTTGCTTCCTCTCTGGATTGGCTGTATTCCTGCCCAGGGAGGTTTCTGGGAGGGGCCCTCGGCTGCTGCGCATGTTGCTGCTGTCTGCAGGTTGAGGCTGTGAGGTTTGGCCGTCACCTCTGGCTCATGCTTTTGTTCTCAGCCGTGTTTTAGACGTTGCTCACGCCATGGGCTGGCCTTGGACGTCACTGACAAGTCTAAGGTCACTGAAATCATCCCGTGGTTCTGTCTGAATGTGAACATGATTCTTTATCCTTGGTGCTCACCACCTTCCCAGCACAGATGCTGGTGTTTGTCGGTCCTTGTCCATTTCTCTTGCCCTGGGTCCCTCCCTGGTCCCTCCAGCCTCACCTCCACTCCCCCTTGCTGGGGGCACCGCCTGGCCCACCA